ACGGCCTGTACAACACAGTACAGAGAAGGGGGAGGAGGGGGCCTGGGCAGTAGGTCAAGGTCGCCGGGCAGAGGAAAGGGGGGGGGGAGTGAGAGGGATGGGCAAAACCGAGAGGAGGAGTGAGAGAGAGAGAGAGAGAGAGAGAGAGAGAGAAAGAGAGAGAGAGACTCTTAGCAGCGCGGGCTGTTTGCCCGGTTGTCAGAAGGCCCATTAGGTAGCAACCTATTTCGGCCCGGGGGAGAAGTGGGGCCTGTGCGGCCCAGGGGCGAACTTGTTCTCGGGGGCAACGTTGAATGGTGCTCGCGCGCGAAGCACGAGCGAACCCGCGCTAGGCGGGGCGGCCGGGCGCGAGCGCGCCGCGGCCAAACTCAAGTCGAGGGGTTCAAGCGACGACTCCCTCCTAAAGAATACGTTATGTACGGTACGTCTCTAAAAGATACGTTATGTACGGTACGTCTCTAAAAGATACGTTATGTTCAGTACGTCTCTAAAAGATACTACTAGTTTTGAGGTTATCAGGAGGTCAGTTTTGGGAGGCGATCCACATCTGTTAGAAGTTCAAACCAATTGTTCCAATGGCTGAACTATGCAGATGGGGACTCGAACTGTCATCTGAAACCATTGATGCACCATATTTCAACCCCGTTTTGATCCTAAACGACTGCCAAAAATGTGCTGCAAGAAAGCTCAAAACAGATAGTATCTTTTAGACGCGTACTCCACATAACGTATCTTTTAGAGACGTATCGTATTCTTTCGTATTCTTTAGGAGGGAGCCGTCGAAAGGTGGCGGGCTGCACCCCCGTCAGGGGGCGTGGACCCGCCGCGAGGGCGCGGAGGTTTGGGCGGCCGAAGTGGGCCCGGTGTAGGCGCCGGGCCGACCGTCAGAAGACGGAGCACGGCGGCTAGATCGTGCAGCAGAGACGCCCGTGGCCGTGGAGAGCGTCCCGCTGGCTGCTTGGGGCCCGCGGTGTCTGAGCCCGCGGAGGTGGGCGCGGGCGCTGAGGACACCGTCTCGACGATGCGGGGTGCGGGCCTTCGCAGTTCGAGCAGCGCGGAGCCGACCTGGTCGGGCAAAGCGCAGCTCTGTGATCCTGGCCACAGAGACGGCACACTTCTTGCGGAGCCGAGCACTCTGTGGAGACATGGGACCACGATTGGCACCGGTAGCACTGGACGGGGGGCCGGGGTGCACTGGTCCGCCGGCGCCGGCGCCGTCGCTTCCGAGCCGCGCCTGGGGCGGCCGGGGCAACCGGTGGTGGTGATGCTGTGGGCGGGTCGGGGAGGGCTGGAGGCGTTGGGAGCGTCACCTGGACGCCCACGTGCAACGCGGGCCTGTCCTGCGATCCCACCCGGAGACCGTTCTGGAAGCAGAGACGCACGGGTAAGGCCCCCCGTGCGTCGAATGGGACGCCGTACTCCTGCAGCCGGAGGGCGGCAGACTCGTCCCCGACGATAGAGACATGCCCCTCCTTGGCGTAGAGGGGCCGATCGTCGACCTCGAACCGGCCCGTGCTCCGCCCCTCGCGGTCGAGAGCGAAGAGGAGAGCCGGCAAGGGGACGTCGGCGGCGACGT